TTCCCCTTGCAACTGCTAGTTCACCTCCAGCTGCTGCTGCATCTTGGGAATCATGGCGAGGAGGCGGCGGCTGCGCTCCACCGGGTCACTGGGCACCACCCCGTACAGCGAACTGCGCACGCGCGTCTCCCCATTGTACTCCTCCATCTTCGAGCCCAGTCGCAGCTGGAGGGCGGTGAAGCGGAGCTGGTTGATCTTCGCGGCGTACTCCTCCGGGCAGGTCTCAAAGAGGTCGGCCAGCTGCTGGGCGGTGACGCCCAGCAGCTTCTCCGCGTTCTCCTGGAAGATGGTGATCCAGGCGCTGCCGGTGGCGTCCGCCACCGCCACGCTGAGCATGAATCGCCACTTGAAGGTGTTCGTGGTGCGGTCGCACTTGGCGCAGTAGTAGGTGCCGTCGCCCGCCTCGTCGGTCACCTTCTTCAGGCAGCCACCGGGGACGGCCTCATTGGCGCAGCTCTTGTACAGGTGGCTGGTGCCCTCCTTCCGATTGCTGATCGCAGAGATCGTCCCGTAGACGGAGCTGTAGATGCTCGGATTGGCGTAGGGGTTCGCGGAGATGGCGGCGGAGGTGGCCGGGTTATTGGCGACGTTCGCCGCATTCTCCTGCACCAGCTTCGCCGTCAGCTGCCCCACAAAGCGGTGGCTGTTGTCCAGCTTGCGCGTGCCGCCCACGCTGCTCAGGCTCTTGAAGGCCTCGGCGGAGCCGCGCGCCGGCCCGTGGTACCAGTGGCGGAGGACGCCCACCTCGGCCAGCTCCGCCGGCTCCACGTCCACCACGGTGGAGCCAATGGTGCCCAGCGTCTTCCCCTTGAACTCGCCCACCAGGACCGACTTGAGGGCCACCACCTCGCCGACGTTGGCAGTGAAGCTCTCCGCGAGGCCGCCCCAGAAGGTGACGCGCGCCTCGTAGAGGGAGCGGTCGACGATGGTCACCTCGCGCTTGGTCACCTCTCGGCCGGTCTTGCGCGCCACAAAGGACTCCAACTCGCCGACGGCGCGCACCACGCCAATGACGTCGATGCTCGTGCCGGCGGCCATGCCCTCCACCTCCGAGAGCGGCTTGAAGTTGTAGCGCATGAGAGGGATGCCGCCCGTCGCCTGGTCGTCCACCGGCTCGATGACGCTGTGGCCGGTCAGCGTCACCTCGTACTCGGCCTTCAGCGAGCTGTAGCGCTTGTTCGCCGGCTTGACGGCGCCCTTCGAGATGAGGTAGACGCGGCCGCGCTCAATCAGCTCGTACCACTTGTCCGCCTCGGCGTTGAAGGCGGTGATGCGCAGCTCGCCGCCGCTCTGGTCGACGGTGTCGAAGCTGAAGACGTGGCCGCCGCCGCGGGCGTTGTTGTACGTTTTGAGGGGCGTCTTGCTGGTGACGCGGACGCGAATCACCCAGCTGGTGTAGAAGGGCGAGATGACGTTGATCGGGGCCACCTGCTCGTGCTGGAGCGTGTTGGTGGTGGGGAAGACGCCTGGGGCTGCCGCCCCACCGCCACCGGCTTTGCTTGTTGAAGGGCTGGAAGAGGCCGTCGTAGAGGTCGCTGACTTGGTCACGATCAACGGCGGGCGCGAGACGAGCGCTGAAGAGCCGCCGTAGGCGGAATCGGCCGGCTCCTCCTTCTTCATCGGAGAGAAGGCGGCCACTGCACCACAGCCACTTCGTTGACTCAGATAGGCCCAGTCAGTGCCCTCGAGCTTATCATTGATCTCTTTGCCTGCAAACGAAAGCATCATCATTACAAAACTATTTTAGAACAACTCCTCCTCTTCAGCACAACACAACAAGAAGCACTACTCACCATCTCTGACCAGGTCCATCTTGTTGATAATCAGCACGGTCATGTTCTTCGCGGGCATGGCGTTGGCGGTAAAGTCCAGCACGCGGATCACCGTGAACTTGTCGAGATGGCCCTCGGCAAAGAGGCGCTCCGCGTCGTCGTGCATGAGGATGCAGTGCTGGTTGATGGTGAGGCCGTCGTAGAGGACCGCCCGCAGGCGTCCTTGCTGCATTGGCCTCACGCCGAGCAGCTGCATCAGCGGCGGCTGAAAGGCCGGATCACTGGCGTCCGCCGACTTGACGCGCCCCTCCAGGATCGCATTGATGACGCCCTTGCTCAGGCGGAGATCCGCGGCCATGGTACGAGACTTGANAGCAGCTGCATCAGCGGCGGCTGAAAGGCCGGATCACTGGCGTCCGCCGACTTGACGCGCCCCTCCAGGATCGCATTGATGACGCCCTTGCTCAGGCGGAGATCCGCGGCCATGGTACGAGACTTGAAGACGGGAAGGTTTTTGAGATGAGAGAGAACTCCAATTTACAAGTCTGAACACTGCAAAAAACAAAATCACAGAAGCAGAACGCAACGCAACGCGAGCAAAACGTTGTGATAACAACACACGCTGCTCTCGGCGACTGAGCTGAAAAAGAACAACAAAAAGGCAGCTCTGCGACTGCGCGGCAACACACACTGTTGCTGCCCATCCGTAAAGAGCGTGCCCCTCTAGTCGATTGCGTCATTTAGAAACAACCAACGGTCGCTTTCTACTCTTTTACCTTTCCATGATATTGCAATGAAAAAGGACAGGTGAACCAGGTGAGGTGAAATGGAGCAAGAGTGTTTAATCATTCACTGGGAGGAAGAAAGTGACTATAATGAGGTGAAGTAGTAAAATCCAAGAGGGGATGGAGTAGGTAAACAGGCTGTAAGAAAAGGGGAGGGAGTAAAGAAGGAGGAAGGAAGGTGAAAAACAGAGAAGGGAAACAACATCGACGATGGTAATGGTGGCTCAGCTGATTACTCTTTTAGAAGAGCTGCGCAGCCATGCGGGGAATCATCGCCAGAAGGCGGCGGCTGCGCTCCTCCGGCGACTGCTGCACCAGCGAGTAGACGTCAGTGCTCAGGCGGAACTTTTTGAGGGAGTTCGTTGAAGGACCACGAACAGAACCACCTTCTTCTTCTTCTTCATCAGCAGCAACTGAGCTCTCCATCATCCTCGAGCCCAGGCGGAGGTAGTAGTCGGAGAGGCGAGCGCCATTGAGCAGACTGTAGTAGCGGGAGGCGGCCGTCTCATCATTGGGCGCCTTCTCCGTGGCCTCTTTGGCGGCGGCCAGCTCGTCCACCGTCACGCCCAGCAGCTTCTCGGCGTTGGCCTGAAAGAGGCGCACCCAGCGGGAGCCAGTAGCATCCCTCACCTCCACCGTCAGCTTCAGCACCCACTTGAAGCGGGTGCTCGTCTTTTCGCACTTCATGCAGTAGTACTCCAGCACGGGCTGGTCGCTGCCCCGGCTCGAGGGGATGACCTTCTTCGTGCAGCCCTCGTTCTCGCATGCCTGGTAGAGAATGTCGTCGCCGCCCGTCTTGTTGGCGCCGTTGGTGGCCACGATGACGCAATTGACGCTGGAGAAGATCAGCCCCGAGGCGGAGGCGATGCTGGGGTCCCGGTCCGCCGCCTCAAAGAGCTTCAGCGAGAGCTGGCAGAGAAAGCGGANATGCTGGGATCTCGGTCCGCAGCCTCAAAGAGCTTCAGCGAGAGCTGGCAGAGAAAGCGGAAGCTGCTGTTCACCAGCGAGTTGACGTCGGTGTGCGTGGACAGCTTCTTGAAGCCGCCCGTTTCGAAAGAGACGGCCTTGGCCATCTTTGCGCCGGTCAGCGTCCACCAGCCGCGCAGGAAGGCCGCCTCTTCGAGGCAGTTGGCGGCGGGTTCCACCTCGAGCACCGACGAGTCGCAGGTGGACAGCGTCTTGCCCTTGAAGTCGCCGACGATGACGTTCTTAAGGGCGACGATGTCCGCGGCGGCGCCAGTGAAGCTGTTGGCAAGGTCGTTCCAGAGGGTGAGCCGCGCCTCCGCCCCTGACTGGTCCACAATGGTGAGCTCACGCTTCAGCAGACGAGGGCTGCTCTTAGTTTGCTGTCCCAGCTTTTCGTCCTCTTCGAAGAGCACTGAAGAGCACATTCCCGGCGGCACATTGAGCGTCTCCAGCTGGCCTACCGAGCGGACGACGGCGATCACGTCGATGAGGGTGCGCGAGGGAGTGTCCATTACCTCCGCCAGCGGCACAAACTTGAAGCTGAGGTTGGGAATGTTGTCGGTGACCGCCAGCTCGGTCACCAGCTCAATCTGACTGGCGCCGTACAGCGTCACCTCGAAGTCGGCATTGCGGGCGAAGCGCTTGTCTGTGGGCACCTTCACCGCGCCCTTTGAAATGAGGTACACCTTGTGCAACTCCACCACCGGGTAGAAGTGGTCGGCGTCGGCGTTGAAGGCGGTGACCCGAAGATCGCGGCCGCTGCCGTCGAAGCACTCGAAGCTGAAGAGCTTGCCCGGCCCGCGAGAGTTTTTGAAAGTGTGCATCGGCGTCTTGCTGCTGACACGGGCGCGGATCACCCAGTCGCGCAGGTTCTCCACCAGAGAGGAGATCGGACGGACCTTCTCCGGGTTGATTCGGAGGATGGTGCTGCTGCTGCTTGAAGACGAGGCGGAAGCAGAGGCAGAAGAAGTTGTAGCCATGATCTTGGCTGGGGGAGCCATCGAGCCATCATCAGCTCTGTCTGCAGAACTTGTGCTGGCGGCGGCAGTTGCATCATCAGCAGGACGCTTGGAGCCAGCGGCGATAGCCGCGGCGACAACGGGACCAGGCGGCTTCTGGTTCTCTTGGTCGTTGTTGCTAAAACTGTTGTTGTTGTTGTTCGAACTATCACCTCCTTCTCCTTCGAGGATCGTGCCACTATCGCTGACGGCCTCGATGGTAGNGCTGTTGTTGTTGTTGTTCGAATTATCACCTCCTCCTCCTTCTCCTTCGAGGATCGTGCCACTATCGCTGACGGCCTCGATGGTAGTGCTGGCCATGATAGAAGTTCAAGAGCTCATAGGTCGATATTGTCAAAGTCGAACTGAAATTCGTTTGAGAGGACCTGCCTGGACGAGCGCCAAAACGCGAATGACGAAAAAAAAGTTGTACAAAACGGTCGTCGCTTCCACAGACGTCCTCTGCGGAGGGGCGCCCCGCGCGCACGGGCAACACATGAGATTGTTTTGATTTGGATTTGACGATTTTGCTTTTGGGTTGGCTTTTCTTCTTTTGGATCTCCTCCTTTCGCATGATCGGGATTCTCCCCTTTGGTTCAGTTCATTTTTGGTAGTAGAATGCCTCCAGCTCTTCTGGCGCCTCTTCAGCTGCTCCCGAGGTTTCATCTACCTCTCTTTAGACCGCCTACTTGTGCCTTCTTTTTTCGGCTGCAATGTCACCGTCGTCTGTTCATCGCCCGATCATCATCATCACCGCCAATTTCTTTTTCTCTTGTACATCACCACCACCGCTCATTTTCTACATGTTCACCCTCTCACCCTAGTCAGCCTTCTCGCCTTCTCTCCGTCCTCTTCTACGGTAGCGATGACTTCAGCCTGGAGAGTCTTCGCCTGCTCAGAGGGAAGCTGCTGCAGGTCAACAATCAAGAAGAATCCGTTATCAACAGCCCGACTGAACTTACCCCCACAAAAACCGCCCTGAGCAGGTTAGAGGTGGTGACCACCTCAAGTGGGAACCCCGTCTACAACTACTGCAAGCGGACGGGCCTAGTCTGCCACTCTTTTGACCGCTTCCCTTTCGCCGATCACCGTTTTGACCTTGGCGTGGTGTCCTCTTTTGGGCGGCTGATTCCAAAGGCCGCCATCGAGGCCTGTCGTTACGGTATGTCCTGATTTTGAGTTTGATTTCTATTTCCAATTCTAATTATCCCCCACAACAGGCATCCTCAACATCCACGGCTCGCTGCTGCCGCGGTGGCGCGGCGCCTCGCCCATCCAGCACGCCATCCTCGCCGGCGACAGCGTCACCGGCCTCACCATCATGAGGATAAAACCGAAGAAGTGAGTGCTTATCATTATCTTATGTTTATTTATCAACTTATCAACTCTTTCCCCAGATTCGACATTGGCGAGATCGTCGCCCAGCGGCCCATTGACATTCTCCACCGCGTCACGGCGGCCGACCTGAAGCGCATGATGGCCCCCTTGGGAGCGCAGCTGGTAACCAACTTTTTCTGGAGTTCTATTTTCCATTTCTCAACACCTATTTTCTTTTTCAGCTCTGGGAGTGCCTGGAGAACCTCGAGCAGGCGCTGGCCGGCGCCACCGAGCAGCCCTCAGAGGGCGTCACAATGGCGCCCAAGCTGACGGAGGCCGACGGCGAGCTGCTCTGGGCGACGATGAACGCCGCCGAGGTGGACCGGCGGGTAAGGGCCTTCACCGGCGTCTCCGGCTTCTCCGGCTGCTACACGCACTGGATCGACGGGACGCCGCTGAAGCTCTCCGAGGTGGTCGACCCTGATCTGGTGGCCCGTCTGGAGCTGTCGCAGTTGGCTGCAGTTGGATCTGGAGAGGGTGATGCCGATGACCACCTGGACCACCACATCCCCGGCCTGCTGCTCTACCACCGGCGGCGGCACCTGCTGGCGATCGCCTCCGCCGACCGCACCTGGTCCGCCTTCCGCTCCTTCACCCTGAAGGGNTGATCTGGTGGCCCGTCTGGAGCTGTCGCAGTTGGCTGCAGTTGGATCTGGAGAGGGTGATGCCGATGACCACCTGGACCACCACATCCCCGGCCTGCTGCTCTACCACCGGCGGCGGCACCTGCTGGCGATCGCCTCCGCCGACCGCACCTGGTCCGCCTTCCGCTCCTTCACCCTGAAGGGCCGGAAGCGGATGTCCGCCCTCGGCTTCTACAACACCTTCATTCGGCCGCTGGCCAAGGCGTACCGGGCGGTGCACGGCGGCCAGAAGCCCGCCTTTATCCTAGGTCGGCAGCCGATCATTGCGACGGCGGTCTGGCCGTTGGAGCAGCAGCAGCAGATGATGATAGTAGGCTCGAGGAGTCAGCACTTTGTGGGCGTGCACAACTTTGACGAGCTGCAGCAGATCTCGGCCAAGTTGAAGCTGTAGTGGAAGAGGAAGGTGATGAAGAATGGAGTAGCTGTAAATAAGACAAAAAGACTAAGGATTAATAAATCTCCGTGTTCAATCTACGGTGGAAAACTTGCGCTCAAAGGATATTGTCTTTGACGATCTGCTTGTTTTATTTTCTCTTTGAAGTATTGATCGTTATCATCAGACATCGTCGTCGTCAGAGTCGTTCTCCTCGCTCTCATTTTCCTCCTCCTCCTCTGTTTTAGGCAGCAGCCCAAGCGCCACACCGTTGGCGCTGATGTTCTTCTC